CTGGTGAACGCGTTTCGTCGGTAAAAGTGGTATACGTAAACGTTGAACGCAATCGCTTTCAGCCAAAAAGTGCGTTTATCACCTGTGCGTAAGCCGCGGAAGCTCGAGTAGTGTAATTCAAAACGTTTATTGTCGTAAATCATATAATAATACAAACGGCCTTTGCTTTAAAACTATTTTATTATTAAAAGCCCTCGGAGCGGTCCTGTCATTTTGTAATAATGTTATGTTCCCTTGGCATGTAATATTGTTTTCATTACAATCTTTTTCGTCTAAATTCAAAGCACACCAAGCGACTCGTGCACAGAATCCTTTATTCCTTTGTATTGTTATTCACATGTCTTGGTACCTCGCGGTCTACCGATTAATTAAAATTTTACTATGGATATCATTACGATAATACAGTTTAATACACCCAGTAAATCGTCAATAATATGTTAATCATATTCCATTAATATTTTTATCTTATCATAATATCGCAATACTAAATGTAAAACCACATGATATGCGTATAGGCATTAGTTATATATATAAAACAACTTACTTAACATATAGGTGCGTATCACACTGAACACAAATTTTTATTTTTATTTTTTATATAGACGAGAATTTTAAAAGATAGTCAAATAAACAAATGTAATAAATAGTAAAAAAAATTAATTTCTTTCTTTTTATACAGTGTTAAATAGGTCAGCAAATTGTAGAGATGTAAAATAACAAATTTATATTCAAATATTAAATTGCAAAAACATAACGATTCGTTTGAACAAAAATAATGAAACCTATAATTGTGTGCACTTTGTTGGCACAATTAAAATTATATTTGAAACGTTTGCTCAAAAAGTAATTTTTATAATGAGATTATGTGCACTATTTAATATGATAAAATTATGTAGATTATAAATAATAAGCGTGACCTAAGTGAAATGTTCAATCTTATTTGGCACATATTAAACAGTCAAAATAAATATTTGAAAAAAAAATTATAGTGCTTAAATAAACAGACGTACAATAAAACAAAAAAAAAAAACCAAGAGAGTTTTGTAAAATCGTCGCTACACATTTATTTGATTTGTCTCCGAAATAATATTTAGTTAAGTCCCGTGGATAATATCGTCCATTATTTTAGATCATAACATAGCGGGCCATAAAAATACATATTTTAAGCACGTGATTCTGTATATATAATATATATATATACAAAGCGAAATTTACACAACGTCGTCTTATTTATGCACCTCACGCCTTCGGGGTCTGAAATTGTCATACCATTATTATTATGACTATTGTTGTTGTTGTTGTTGTTGTTGTTGTTGCTGTTGCTGCCGTTATTCTATATTTTTTTTATCAAAAATAAAAGAATTTTCATCCCATCACTTTCCATTTGGTTTTATTTAATTTATACAGTGTTCCACTAGGACTTTTTTCTAAAAAAATAGGTAGGTATACGCAGTTGCCGTTAGTAAATCTCAATAAACATTAAACTTAAACACCCTGTATATAGTTCAACCGTAGGTTGATCCAAACTTTTTTATCCACGTTAAATAACAGTTTTTCTCAACTATTTATGATTACGTCGGGGGTATTGTTTACTTTTCAAAAATGAAATTGAAGCTCGAGTCTAATCAGTTTTCATTAATTTATATTGAAGAACATACATTCATCGATTTCAACAGCAATAAATAATAATATTGTAGAGTGTGCTTTTTAAACGTATATAAACTTTATATACCTATCTAATATTATATTTTATAAATGGTATACGCGATCAATGTACGCGGTATTGGGGACCATGTGAATAATGAATATTGAATACCCTAAGTTATACGTTAACACGTTAAATGCATGTGATTATAACTACTATATAAATTGTTATTGATACACTTTCAGAACTATAAAACAAAGTTTAATCTTTGTTAAAATATTTAAACACCCATTATATACCTATATATACAGTATATTATACGTGATATTTATTTAGCATACACATTTGGGGGCAGTACAATTCAGTTTCCAGGGAGACGGTCGACTGCGACGAAATTTACCGGACGTAAAAAAACGTAATGACCGATGAAAGCAAACAATTATTATTAACTTTTTAATTTTACCCAACTGACCCAACGGCCCGCCATCGATGTGCACACTGCTGTGTCCTGCAGCTATTATACCGCTTTTACTACCTGTAGACTCAATATATAAAATACATGACTACGTCATATTATATTGCATGATTCATAAATTTCTATCCGTCTGTAAAGCGACACCCTGTATTGCCACGATATTACAAACGAAACTTATAACGCCTGGAACACCGTACGGCCATTAGAAATAACTGTGCATCGCATTTTTTCACGCACCGACTGCAACTATTTATTACGATGGGATTTTATCATAATATGCGGTATTCTTCGATATAATATGCCCCCGGGACCATATATAGGTACTATATTCGCCCGTATCAGAATAAAAAATGTTATTTGTTTCGTTTCGTTTATCGACTTTCCAAACACATTTGATTAAAACTAATTCTTAAAGTACGTTTCATTACCGCGGTACATTATATACGCATATAGCGTTCCGATCATTTAAATAAATCGGTATACTAGCCGGCCGATCTCTGGTGTTGGCCCATAATTGTAAACATTTTAGCTATGAGAGTAAATACGACCCGCAAAATAAACTAATATTATTAATCATAACAAAATATTGGATCGCATAGGTAGTCGGTCATATCCGGCCCCGATGATTATCGAACTGCCCAGACTCCGATGATTTGGCCGCCGATCGACTTTAGAGCAATACTCGTATTTAAATTACTCTGCGTCGGGGCCGTCATCGAGTTAAGGTTCCAACACGTTTGGGACGTCGCATAATAATTCATGAGATTTGCCAATTATGCGAATTGATTTTGACAACACTCGGGCGTTCATAACATATATATATATATATGCTCCGATACAAAAACTTCCGCGTTCACATTATAAGCTGCAGTAATACAACTAAGCCACTGCGTTGCAATATTTATTTTTTCGACTTCCGCCGAAATCACCGAAGGGAAACGCCCGACCTAAAAACCGGGAGAAAACCTTTACCCACCAATTTATACACACACTCGCTGTCCAGTGGCAGATTTAGAACGGATATATATACGGTTTCCGGGCATACCGTTTGGTCGTACCCGAAAATTCGGATGGCATATAACCTTCGAAGTTTCGAAAAAAAAATTTTGATTTTTCCATGTACAGAGTTCGGGTACACCCATTTCATTTTCAATCTGCATCATCGACACGCATGCGCCGTCGTCGAAATATTATAACTCACAGTGTCGACGACACCAGTACAACTTATTGATAATTTTTAACGAAAAAATAATTTTTTCCCCGTCGATTGGCGGTGGTCTTCATTAAACTAATACGTATATTTAAAAAATGCGAAATTAATCGATTGAGAATTAAAACACGTCACAAAAATGATTGTATTTCCGACGGATTACACAGTGAAACGACGTGCAAACCAAGATAGTAATGTGTTATATACGTACACGTGTTGTTTTTGAGCGCAGATTACTCGAGAAAGTCGTAACGCTATGAGAAATGTATTTTTAACCAAATGAAGAAAAAAATAAAACATGGCAGCCCCAGTGGGACTATTATAATAACCTACGGAGTACCTATAGACGAGTTCGAAAACACAAAACTTATACCGGCATCGTGTTAATACAACCGTCTGGTAACATAACATATTCTGATAATGACGTAATCTCGACCGTAACGCGACGGTACATATAATATATTATAATATTATCGCGATCCACGCGTTATATATATTGTCGTAGGTATGAATGTACGATATTATCTTCAATAGAGCTCGGAAGTTTTTATGTCTATATAACCGACCAAAATAGAAACTCATTATTATAGGAGGACATGTAGGTAGTATATATATATATATAAGGTACACAACGATGACTGATGAGATTAAAGAGGAAAATTTATTAAAATGTATATTTTGCATATGAATGGGTACATTTTAGAGAGAGAGAGAAGAGAAATTTCTTAATTTACCGTGTTTTCGTAATATTTTCGGAAAAAAATGTCTTATTATATTGCGGCGCATTTCAGGTAGGTATACTCAATTATTTAATATGGGTATTTTTTTTTCCCCCCAAAGATTTGCGCAAAGTACCAAAAAGCCAGTTTTCCATCATAATAAATTGATATAATTTTTTTTTTTTTAATTTTTAAATGCCATACTCTTGCAGTTATGACTTGGTATGTTATAATACGCCCTAATGACGTATTATTATTTTCGACTAACCACTTTTTGTTTCGTTTTATTAATGTTAAAGCTGTTATCTTCTATACAACAGTAAAATGCAATGTATATGTGTGTGTTTATGCGATGCCAATCCTGTCGTATTCGTGGTTCTGACATTTTGTGCATAAGTAATCTTACACCCGAGGATATGCACCTCGAAGCCCCGACGTTTATTAAATCTTATATTTTAAAGAGGGGGGCAAAGACACTGGGATTTTTTGGATCGCGAAAAACGAATATTTATTTGTTTGTATAGGGTGGCCACAGTTTGCATAATATGAAAATAAAATAGTATAATTATAATGATTGTCAGTGATTTCAGACCTGTTTTTTGTCACTGGCAACGCTGAGCAGGATCAGCTAGTTTTTAATATAATAATACAAATATTATGTCCGTGTAAAATATACTTCTGTCCGACCCACATAAGCGATACGTTTCTATGATATTATTGTTCGGAACATTTACAGTACAATATCCTGCATAGGTATCATGCACATAATATTATCGATCACGACTTTTAAAGTTCTACGTGACTTCGGAGCTCGGATTTCATGATCGACTTTTTTTTGTTTTTTTTGAACATCTCGGCCGCAATATGTGCAGCGCCCCGTTAAAACTCCGACCACCGAAATGTGACATTAATCAAATGATTATTATTTTTTGTTTTTAATCCGACACGCAGGCGCGACACGCCGATGGACGACTTAATGGTACACTTGGGCGACTACGACCTGACAGCGGACAACGAAACGGAACACCAGGCGCGGAAAGTGTCTCGCGTGCTGTTCCACTCCCATTTCCATCCGTTCCTGTTGGCCAACGACATAGCTCTGCTGCAACTCGACCGGCCGGCCACGGCGAGCGACACCGTCAGGCCCGTGTGCATGCCGTCCGCCGACGGTAAGTAGTGTCAGCGCCGTCGCGTCGTGTGATTCGGGGGGTGGCCACTGGCCTCGGCGTTGGGAGCCGCGAATTCGGATAAAGTCGACTCCGGGGGGGGGGGGGGCACGTTGTAAAGCGACGTTCATATCAAACGGAAATGCATTTTTCATTTTAAATCAAACGAAGGAACTCTGGCGCGGTCGGAACACACGGTGATTATTTTTGGCTACACGTATTAAAAATCTCCGCCGCCGCCGCTGCCGTGCCAACCTATGCCAGGTAATAACGGCTGAAGTGATGGCGAAACCGACGGCAATAAAAACCATCACTGTCTGCTCGCGGTTCCGACGAAAATATATATTTATTGATTTTGGTCTAAGTTTTGTCCGAGAGCCGCACGTGGCCACCCCTGTTGTATGTTAATATGATGATATGTACTGCAGCGAAGGTGGCCAAAAGCGGCTCGTGTCCAAGATTCGTGCGGCTCTCTCGACATAGACTCATGCGGATCGAGTAAGACGTAAACAAATTTTACAAATTTTATAATAAGTAGTGCACGGAGACAAAATTATTTTTTTCGGGGAAACCCGCGAAGGTGGTACAGTAGAGGGGTTTTTATTTGTGTACATGTAGTAGATTTTTATGTTGGTAGGATTGTAACACGCGTTCGTGCATGTGTGGCAAGGATGTGTTACTAAAACCCCGGGTGTGATGGTCACCCATCCGGGAGCTAGCAACGCCGATCGGTAAGTGAACGGGAGCTTTTCCCCAGATTTTTAGAGTACGACCGAACCTCACCGAGCCACAGAATCAACACATTTAATTGGATTCGGTTACATATCTGTAATGCGATAATTGAGAATCTTTTTTCCTGTTCTTGGCTTTTTCACGTTTTTTTGTTATATAATCAGACGTACGATGGATGGTTGTGATTATTCGACGGCGATCGATCGTCTATGATAAAAAACAGAAAAATATTAAATATTATGTTTTTGTAAAATTCAGTGTTATATAAAACAACCTATAACTTACAAATTGGCGGATAACTATTGTTCAAAAACATAAGCATCATTGACTGAGAGAATGAGTGTAGTCGAACAAATGGATTTCTCTGTGACCTTATACATTGTTGATTCACCAAGCACGGCCCCTTTTATCCTTTGATAATGCATTTAATCAAATATTGATTTTTTTAATAATTTCTTAAGTAGATAACTATATACTCATCACTTTAAAGGCGATTTAGTTGTGTATACCACAAGGAATAAATGAGGGTCTTACACATTTTTTTTCTTGTATGAACCATATTATTATTGAAAATTGTCATGCGGAAGGTTTTTTTTGATAATGTTAATGTGCCTAAAATGAAATTCGAACAAATAGTTTTTTAGTTATTAAACTTTGTGATTTTAACTTTAGATTTCAATTCGGCGCAGGATTTTAGTCCAAAATAATGATTTAATAGGAATAGATGTGATAGGTGCTTATAATAAATTAACACTCTTGGATAAGTTATATAAATTATAAAATATTTGTAGAATAATATTAATAATTACTATACAGTTTCCAAATTATCATAGCCATCATATCCAGTTCTAATCTATCAATTATACTTAGTACTTAAACTTTAATAACTGAATGGTTTGAAACATATGCATGAATTACTACATAGTAGTAGGCACTCATTATAGAATTTTGACTTGATTGAATATGAAAAAAAAAATATTTGCTTAACAATTTACATTACAAAAAGAGTAATACACATTTAAAAAAATTAACTTCAATGAACTTTGAATCGCCATCAAGACTGTACTCTTTGGACATTAATTCCTAAGGGTTTTTTTTAAAAATATGTCGAGAAAATATTATTTTAAAATCCTAAGAATAGATCAAATATCATTTATGTCCAGACCTTATTATTCTTGGTCTACATGCGGACAAACAAGGAAAACACAAAATTGTTTCTACCAAAGAAGGAGAAACTAAAAAAAAACAAAATGTCAGTGATCCGGTGCATCAAAATAAAATATTGATCATGTTTTTATTAACAACATGCCCAAAAAAATATAAGCTTTGAAAATATGGTCCTTAAGTATCTTTGTATATCCTCAAAGTCTTTGTGATCGAACTAATTACCATTCAAAATTTGAATTTTCCCCAAAATGTATGATACAGTGTTATAGCACCTTATATTATTATTAAATTGCCAATTCGAATCTGAGGTCATTCCCCGAAAATATTTAGCTTTAGGTACTTTTTGAAAGCTCGGTAATTCGCTATATACTATAAATCATGTCATCATATTATTATTATTATTATTATTATTAATAGAACCTACCAATAATAAATTTTGCTCGTGCCGTGCATTACACCGGATTTTCGTACATATTGCACTTGTCAGTAGTCACACGACGTTTCCAATAATAAACTGCTAATTTCTAATAAATGAAATATGAAACGAACAGTTGTACGCATATGTGTATTACATAAATGATTAATATACTCAAATGAAACGGTAAATTGTTATTCTATTGAACAATAGGTATATTTTGTGGTTTAGTAATCGCTATATTGTATCGACTGACTATTCTAAATGTTTTATTTATTAAATTATTATTTTTTGCGAACTCAAAATCACCATTACAAGCTAACGCTTATAGCTAAACGATGTGTAGCGATAATTTGTTTTGTTTTGTTCGATATGCACATGTTATATTTGGTTACAAAATAAACAATCGCGTACAATAAATATGCTTTATAGACATGCACCGTACGTGATTTACATCTTCTACGAGATATTTTCTATGTTCTACGTGGATTTATATATTTTCCAATGCTCAAAGTTTGTCGCGAGCGTTTCAAAGTCGGGTACACGCGCGTAATGCTGGTAATTCTGGTCGAAACCGCCCGTTTTTCCTCAAGACCGATCGAAAAAAATTCGAATCCGCTAAAGTCGAAATGAAATCGAAAAGTATAATCATATTTGCGCGATGTGACGCGGTACGTTGATTTTTCGACAGTCGTGTGAATTGCGTAAACCGAATGTTGTCTAATTATTTCTCATTGCGTTTCTCGCTAGCTGCAAAACACGTCTGAAGCCACAGGGCGGAATATTACGACGAACAATGATGGATTATAATATGTGGTCGTACATCTCGGCGCAGATAGCGATCCATCGGCTGCAGTACATTTCATACTGGTTGATACGCAGGTATCGTCGGCTGTTCCCCGAACGCCTATAAAACCGTGAAAACCTATATACGTCGGATTTTACGATTTATGTACGCGTGTGCTTTTATTTCGTTTTTTTTTTTATGCGAAAAACATTTTTAACGGCGTTGTTAATGCGCTTTCGCGTGCAGTTAATCCGCCGGAAAATACGCGTACAATAATAATACATTACATCACTGCGATGGGCCGTATACGAGTTTACATCGAGATGGTAAAAATTCCATTATTGTGCTTCGATACAACCCCGAAACGGATCAATTCTGGTGAGCACATTGACCGCGTACAACGCCGAGTTTCCGCGTGAACGTCGCACGGTCGTCGCCGTATACACATATTCATCGTTGTACTCGCGTATGATTTCGGGATTTCCGGTATCAGAGTATTGTCTTGCAGGACTTACAAAAATTATTACACCGGAAATCGTGGTCAGAAAACCACCGTACGAACGTGTGTAACCGTTTTGAACGTTTATTGTGGCCGACTGTTAAAGCCGCGTAGTGGCTGCAGTATATTATATAGTGCAGCGGTTCCCAAACTTTTACGACCACGGCACCCTTAAAAAATTGTGTGTGTTTCGCGGAACCCTAATGTCTATTCCAACTCAACTACAATTTTTCTAAATAAAAAAATGAAAATCAATTCTCTAAACTCTCAAGTCTAAATAATATTTTAATGATACTGTTAATGACTTTTCATTATTAAACTTAGTTTAAAAAAAAATTTTCAATCAAAAATATTTTAAATAACAAACATTAAATAAACATAATTTTCTCAATAGTCTCATACATCTGGTGGAATCCTTGACATAGTCCCACGGAACCTTAAGGTTCCGCGGAACACACTTTGGGAAACGCTGATATAATAGTGAGTGCGTAATATTGTAGTGTGCGCTCATGATGCACGATACACCCCCTCCCCTCTCCGGATATGCGATACGATAACGCATTTGATGTATTGAACGCCGCGCAAAATCCTATAAAATCTGAACGAATTCGTTATTAATTGGAACAATATTATTACGGGGGTGAACGCGCTTGGTGAATTATCCCAGCTGTATAATACAATATTATAATTATATATACGTCGATAATCGAGACGACTCGGCATAGATAATCATAATAATATGTACTCAGGCAGTGTCCATAATGTCCGCGCGGGCCAGCGTCGACTTGTTTGTAACGTGTAAAAAATCAATGGTATCTACAGCCACTTTTTTCCAACTGTATATTTCTGCAATAATCGGAAGTATAGGGCCAGCCGCTGCATTGTGGTTAAACATTTTTTTTTTTTGTTCGTCTCATTCATCGCGCAATATCAGTAAGTACCTATATACATTTTGAGGAAAACCCGAGACCAGAGATAATATAATATGATGTGCATATTGCGTACACCATATTTATAATTTATTGCAATCTACTATTATACACTTATACGGCGTATCCGATGTATTTTCAGTTTCGGTTTTTACATATTCTGGACACTAAAATGTATATCAATCGCGCTTTTTCCTTTACGTCTCGATATTATTTTATGCCTATCTGTCCCACATAATACCGTGCCGCGGTATTGGAATATTTTTATTCCGTGTTCAAAATTTAGCTTATATCCTGAGGGTTCGTGCAACCAACAACTGACATGGTAATGCATCACGAATCGTAACTGATAAATTACGATCCAGGACTAAACAAAATAGCGATAGAGGATTATAGTGCATTGTAATATATTATTGATTCATTAAATTAAAATATCGAATGATACACAACGCCATATACACCGGTCACCACATCATAACCACTACATTAACGCCTATACATTGTACAGTAGACCAGTTTCGTTCGGTGATTACGCCAATGCTTCAAATATCACCATCATCGGTCTTAGTCGTTTTTGATGATGAGCATCACAATGGCTAATTTCAATCGACATTTTCGGTAGTACGTATAAATTATCTCAACGCGGTCAGAAAATGGATTCGTTGAAAAATTGCGTCTGCACATCTACAACCGTGACGGCGGCGTGACACTCATGTGGGGCCGTGTCGATCTCGATGAAAATCCGTTGGTCGTGTTTGCAGTACATACTCATACTGTGTCACGTCGTCGAGATGCACGTACACACACACACGCACACACGCGCGCATTATATTGAATAAAATATAGGCATTATATATTATTGATATACGTCTCGCCGTCGTCGTCGTCGTCAACATGTGGCAAGAAATATAACAACTGGCGGGTCTGATCAATACCATCACTCACTGCTCGTGCACGTATATAATACTAGCTGAATTATCCGACTCCGCCCGCGTGGAGTTTTGTTTTTTCATATTTACAATAATATATCCCCTATATAGCTTCTCTGAACAATTTTCATCCACACGACGGACGAAAAGGATGGGTTGCAGGTGGCCGGAAACCCGCGGGCCGCCATGAGCCCGTGCCGCGCAGCACAATACGTATTGGCGATGAATAATAATATTATAATTGTTAATCACTCCACTAAAACGCGACATTTTTGAAAATCCCTTCTCGTTGCGCGGCAAAAATACGAGAAGAACCTCTGTTCCGAATTTCAAGTTCGTACGTTGTCGTAATTTTTTGAGTTACAGCGATCAGTTAGGTTAGAAGAAAAATTAGAAGTTAGAAAAATAACACGTTAATACGCTAATCGTTATATTGGATTAATATTTTGTTTCATTGATTTCGAATTTGTAGAGCCTATTAGCGTTATCCAGGAGACACCACGAGGAGGTTGACTCTTATTTTTAGTTCACGTCCGTAATCACAAAAAATATAATAATCTTAAGAAGATATTGCAGCCGATTGTAAATCCAAATCGGAACTGAGCGTTGAAACGTTAAAAATATTTGTTAGCTTCGTAAACCTTACAAAGATAGTAAATCGTTTTTGTTTATCATCGCGATAACCTATTGCGATTGGCAATATTAGCGTGCGCACCCCGGGATAGTCGAATTGCACTTATTACCTACAAATGAATGGTCGAATTGCACTTGGATTGAAAAAAGGTAATGGTCGAACTGCACTCAGGTAAAAAGCAGTTAGTGGTCGAACTGCACTCGTTCAAAAAAAAAAAAATTAAAATGGAAAACCCGTTAAAAATATTGTGAAGAAAAATATTAATGATGGTGTTAAATGGCGTGGTACCTATCGTGATTGTCTTTCAAAACTATATCTAGATGAATTTTCTAAAGTAATTTTTCGGTCTGAATTGATATACATATTCGTGAAGAACCACTTAATTTACCTCGGAGAATGATTTCAAATTCAGCAAAGAAAAAAAACCTTCAAATGCATGATAATTTTATTAAAATATTTTTTTGAGCCCAAGTGCAGTTCGACCATTATCTTTTTTAAACCCAAGTGCAATTCCACTAAAATAAGTGCAATTCGACCATACCCGCGCACCCAAACGCGTGTTGTGTATTTACGTGTACCCAAATGTGTTCTACATTTGCAGGTAAAAATAATGCCATGTACCCAAAAGTGCTGCACCCCTTATATTATACACATTACATCGTATGTTGGTGTATGCCGCATATACAGTTGCAGCGGTGGCCCGTCCGGAATTGTTGGTTTGCATCATCCGCCAGTGCTCGAAATGGGAAACAAATATTTTTATTTTTTTTAGACGAACGCTGGTCGCGCAATGTCTACGGGCTAAAAATCAACGTACAGTAATCTTTTATGACAGCTGATAATGTTTTCACAGTTGTGTGTCCCCACCCGCCAGTGTCGATAAACAATACAATTTATTTGTGCGTTTAAAGAAATTCGGGGTCACATAAAAACGCATTTCACAATAGTTTTGTTTGTTGCTTTATAGGTATAACCTCACTCGCCATATTTTTTGGTGAAATTGTAATTATCAATATATACCATTCGAGTATATTATACTATGGTTGGGTGCCACGCACGATAATTGCAATTATCTTTGACCGTAAGACATTAAATATGCCGACGGATCATGCAGTTGAAAAAGTAATATCTGCAGATTTTCGCTCTAAAATCTAAATTCTAATCCCTCCGATTCACCGATTCAGAGTTCAGTTCTACACTGCCGGGACGATGGAAATTCGTCGTCAATTTCGTGACAAACGTAACGCTGAAGAAAATGTTAGATTTTTGAATACTATTCACGCTTAAAATAATTATCGTTCACTGTTTGTTGACGGTTATTCCGACTAAAACTTTTGTAAACACCACAATAAGATGCATTTGCGCTTTGTGCATACAAGGAGCTTGTTTAAATCAATATATGTATTGTGCGTCTATACACACAAATAACGAACGGAATAATTTCGTACTTTTAATTCAAACAAGCAGCGTGTTGTTACGTTAAAATAATAACGTGTCATTAAGTGGTAGTGGTGTAGTAATAAAACCAGTAGCCATACAAGACCTTCGGATATAGTTCGTTTAAAATTACTAGGTAGGTACTCGGAACAAAAATCATTTAAGTCTATTTTTTGGTTTTAGAAAAATAAATACATATTGTATCGTACATTGTGTTTGTGTCGTTTAAACTACGCGTGCGTATAACAACTGGATATAATTAACACGGGAAAAGGAAGAATATACTGCGGTACACACTAATCTCTTGCTATTTAAAAAAACTAAAAAACCGACCCGAGACAATATAACGAGTGTTCCGTGTCGGATGAATCGCCTTGCGGTATTATCAAATACCATGCCATAAAAACGTAGATAATAATACGACTTTATATTGTAATATATCTATTTAGTATTATTATAGTAGTGCCCTGTAACTTAGACCTTAGTACCATCGCTTTCGCACACGCCGAACTATGGGTACAATATATAATATATATTATACAGGGTGATTTCCCAAGCATGATATTTTTTTCTTCAATAATCTAGTTGTTCAGATTCAGATTTTTTTTTTTATAATTTTTAAATATACCTTAAGACTATATTTTCAAATTCTCGAGATTTTTTGCACTACTTAAAGAGTGTGCTGTGGAAATACAAACTTCTGCTTTCTAATGACAACGTCCCTCTCTATTCAACCATAAATTATACAGTATATAATTTTTCTGAAATTGTTTGACGTATCAAAACCAAAATTCATACAAGCAGTTTTTGAGTTATTTAATTTTGTGTTCTAATGATCGGAGGTCCGTCGTAATGAGTTTATGAGATGTGGGGGCTATGGTGATTTCAAAATTATAGTCATTAATATTAATGTACCGATATTAATAATTTGTAAAAAAAAAACGGACCAAGTATAATGCATACTAGATACAATTATAAGTCTATTTTATATTTGTAAAAAACCAGTTTTGAGGACTGTTATTACAAACTCCTTATTACAAACTTTTTAATGACTAAAAAACTACATATTCAAATTTGAAATGTGGTACATCAAAAAAAAATATCCACTAATTAATTTACAGTTGTAGTGCGGGGTTCTCATTTGAAAAACAGAAGTTTTTATCACCACAGGACAAACAAAGTTGTAAAAAAAATCTCGGATTTTAAAATATGGTATTACCTACTCTTTGAGTATACTTAAAAATGCCAAAAATCAGAATTTCAATAAATTCATCATTAAAGGAAAACACGGGGGCGAGCATCCTGTTTGGCGAATCACCCTGTACCGGCGATTGTAAACTGCGCCCGAGTTTTTATCAAGAGTAAAAAGGTGACATGTAAACTGCGCCCGGGTAAAATTACAGGTAAAATACTTAATTCGTTGAAGCCATATATATAATTTGAATAATTAAAAATATAATAAAATTTTAAAAATTAAAATAATTATAAATATTACAAATAATAACATATGGTGGATACATATTCATCAATTGGAAAATAAAATGTCTGTGATATACTTGAAAAAGTACACAATCGTCAAACATAGAGGAGACTTTGATAAGTGAAAATTTAATAAGTTAGTAAGTCGGGCGCAGTTTACATTATATACCTTTTAACATAGATAACATTTCGGGAGCAGTTTACACTGTACCTTTTCAACTGAGATAAAAATTCGGGCGCAGTTTGCAAAAAAAAAAAAAGGTCATCTGGGCGCAGTTTACGTATGCCCCCCTGTACTACACACGCATATAATGATGACGTGCTGTGCAACACAGCCTACACTTCTGCCGTATATGGTGTCTTTTACGCGTATAATAATATATTATCATCGCATCATCATCATCATGTACTGTAAAACTTTTTCTATATATTTTCATGTGCACGAATACACCAGGCGACTCGTATGTGGGCCAAAAAGGCACGGTCGTGGGATGGGGGATCACTGCGTTCCCGACGGGCGACCCTAGCCCCACGCTGCAGAAACTCTCCGTGGAAGTCCTGTCAAACTTCCAGTGTTCCCGCGTCATCGACGACCACGTAGGGCTGGGCATGCTGTGCGCCGCCGCGCCGTCGTTGCAAGGGACGTGCTTCGTAAGTATATATAGTCGACGGACAACGACATATTCACGGCATAATAATAATAATAATAATAATAATAATAGTTATGACATCGTATAACGCTCAAAGACAATACATCAAATTCGGCACTGTGTGTGTGTGTGTGTGTGTGTGTGTCGGACCACTCGGACCGTTGCATAACCGGAAATTCGTCAGATTACAGCGGTGACAATAATTAATAGTGAACGGTCACAAACAAAAATTAAGGTAGGGTTGATATTCGTTGATAATCGATCGATAATAATAGCCGACTCATCCCTCCTATAACAAAATAATAATATTTTTATCAAATATATTGTCATCATAGTTTGTTGAAATAACAACATCGATAGCGTGTGCCAAAATTATAGGAGAAGTAATAATTATGGAGGGGATTATAAATTATAACCGTCCATTGAAGATGGTCGTAAGAAATCGTGACCGGTCTGTAACCAAAGTGATCGGTTAGTAAAAGGAATTTCTTTTTTTTTATCACCGATTCCAATTTTTAAAGGGAAATAGTCACCGATTACAAGTGACGAATTTCTGGGTAATATAAGACTGCACGTCACGATAAAAGCAGTGTTGTAACGCAATTTTTGCGTCCGGAAGCGTGTACATAATATTATATTTGCATAATATTTTTATCAGTAGGTCTGTTAAAAATAGCCATTATGTGTTTATGCGTATCGGACGCTCCGATCCGACGAGTTTGGAGTGATTACGATTATATTATTAGCAGAGTTTTACTCAGATTTTTTTTTCATCGAGTAGGAATTTGGAACATTTTTCATCGTACGCTGCAGGGTGATTCGCCAAGCATACTTGCCGTCATTTTTTCCTTTAATAATGAATTTGTTCGAAGTCTGATTTTTGGAATTTTTAAATATACTTCAAGACCATATTTTCAAATTCTCGGGATTGTTTATACTACTTGAGGCGATACAAACTCCTGTTTTAAAAATATAGACCTCCCTTTCTACTGTAAAATATTTATTAGACAATTGCATTGAAAATTTTGATGTACTCAATTCAAAATCGCGAAAGAGTAGTTTCTCAGCATTTAAAATAACAAAATATTTACACTAAAAATAATAGTCTTTAAAAATGATTTTACAAAAATATAAAATAGATGTAATATTAGATTTGGTATTATTTTATTTTATGTATTTACAAATTATAAACATTGATAGATAAATATTAATTACTAATATTTTAAAACCACCATATAATCTCGCATATATCTTCTAAACCCATTATCGTGGTCTTATTATCCATAGTACTCAAAGCTGAGACGGTCAAGAGTTACTCATATGAATTATGATTTTGATACGTCAACAGTTTGGTAGAAAAGGGGGGGGGGGGTTACATTTGAAAAATAGAAGTTTGCATTTCCACATGCCACTTTAGTAGGTACCTAGAATATAAGAAATCTGAAAAATATGATCTTTAAGTATAGACATATTTAAAAATTCAAAAAATTAGATTTTGAAGAACTGCACCGTCGAAGGAAAAGAGGAGGCCAGCATGCTTTGCCTTTATACACAAATTACATGCACTATCTATAGTGCCTATACAAGTATTTTCAAAAATAAAATGCATACCTATCACCTACATCGACGATTTTTTGTTTAAAAAATATTTTCTCACACAATCACACATTATGTTAAAGGGCTGATTAAGTATAGATAATAATTATTTAACACTTTGATTGTTTTTTATGTTTATTTTCACTCGCAATTCAATGATACAATTTTGGCTCATCGATATGTGCGATGGCTTCGATAAAATCTACCAATGAGCTCGTGTACACATGCAGATGGACTCGCTGCTCCCATCATTTTAATATGCAAATAATATTTTTTGTTCAGCGTAATAATAATATTTTAATGACGATGATAAGCGCATAAATGTATGAACGTTATTAGTGCGCATATATTATAACGTCGGGACCCGAATACCCAATAATAATCGTCACACGATGTGTATACCTATGGGTAGGTACCGTTTTGACAATACACGACACACTCAATAATTCCGAATAACAGAACCGTCATTGCGGAATGTCCCGCGACAAAATACGACTGTTGTCCGACGAAACAATATTAAATGCCCTCGATCGTCTCGCACGCACGCCCATTGTTTTATGCTTATTATTATTATTATTATTATTATTATATTATAACATTCGTACATAATATTTTCGTTTCCGATCCGGCCACTCGCGGTTTTCTGTGTATACAAACACGATGACGCCCAAAACCCCTAATTTTGTATAATTTATCGAGTGGTGTTTATATTGTGTTTGATGTGCGTCGACACACACGTCCGGCGTGGTTTAGTATTTACATAACGACGTTTTTATTCAAATTCTATTTGCGATTAACAGCAAAATGTGTGAACGTGAGCATATATATATATATATATATATATATATATATATGTCTAGGTACCCTCCTGTTATTGTTTATGATGTACAGGGTGTTTCCTGGCCGACTTTGGCCTAATTTTTTTTTTTAGTAATTTTAACACTCTTGATTGTTTGATACTTCAGTTGCGACGGATTAAACGTCTTTTTTTTTTCTTTTTTTTTTTTTAACGATACGTACGAATAAAACAAAATTAAGAATCCAAAGACCTGGGGGTTCGAGACGAAAAAAAGTTATTTACAAACGCAGTGAGATGGCCTCAATATGTACAAACCTACTTATTTGTCTTCCCAAATAAAGCTATTGCGTGTATACAACTCGCAACTGAGCATACCTACTGACGTTTTCAATGAATATCATTTGTGTAATATATTTCAGTAAAGAACATATATTATAGCCAATATGACGCTGAATGTGTATCCAATACTGTTGTGACGGATTTTATTGATTTTTTTACGAAGAAACTACGATGAACATCATAATATGACCGTTTAGTTTATATATCGAATGTATTTCTAACTAAATATGACCTTACCCGATTAAAAAATATATAGTATAATAATAATTTAAACGATATACTGTTATAAAGTGTTGTTATGTGTTTCGAAAATTGATTTAAACAAAAACCAAGGTTAGATAATACAACTCCAATATCTACAAAATCGAATCATCGGGAATTTCAATAACTTTAACAAAGTTATATAGATTCTTAAATATGTAATTACTCACTTCACTTATAATTTGATTAATCTGAAAGAATTTATGTTCGCAACTTTTCAATTTCATAAAAACAGTTTGATATTACACTTTTAAATTAAAAGTAGGTTTTTTTGTAATAAAATACAATACAGTATTAATGAAAAAAATAAAGTTAAGTTAAAAAGAAACCACTTTGAGACGCTTTAATATTGACTTATAAAGTATAAAAAAAAGGTATATTAAATAATATGTATATTTCTTTTTTAATATATAGTATTAAATAGTTTATTACACCAATTTTGATTTAAATATTTCAATAATATTTCTTAATATGAAATCTTCACTCCAAAAATATAGAATTTTGTTTAATACGGCTATCATAACTTAAAAGTTAAAACAATATAAAAGTTTTTTTTTATGTCATAAACTTATAAAAGTATAACACACATATATATATAATATATATATGTATATGAATATTTTTATAAAATATCAGGCTATAATAGCTTTATAACAACCCGGCTTATACTGACTCCCAATCCAATCTATAGGTATTACCTATTACAGTTCGCCAGTATACGCACACTTAATTAATTAAAATTATTTCAATTTCAGGGTATTTTGTGCTATTTCGCAATCCACAAATATAATAAAATATTCGAGTGTTTCACACGAGGGTGTAACTGTAACAAAATAACAAAATGTAATATAGAACATAAAATAATTAGCGAGCAAAAAAAGTTTGTGTATTTTAATTTTTAATTATACAAGAGAATTTTTAATTGCATTAAATCCCACTAGTTTGTTCCATACTCCCATGGCTATTGATTTATAGCTTATAGGTTCAATTTTCATTTAAAATTTGATTCCTTAACACTACTGTTGGTAATCCAAGGATGAACCATTCAAATCACGATTTTTCAACAAAAAAAAAACATTTTTCCCGCCCCTTGCTACACATTATTTTATATTTTTAATTAACACATATTTGATACACATGATATACTTAAATATTTCATATTTTTCTTCTAAATACACGTGTTTATATAACATGAATGTATTTTATTTGTTCATTTTGTTTAATGTATTATTTATGTTTAAAAATTACCATTTTAGTATCTAGTATAAAAAATGTAATTCGTTTCTTTTTTTTCGAGATTTTTCGTAGAATACATTAATGTTGTTCTTATTAATTTATGTATAATTCTTCCTTATAAAATAACTTTTGCAATGAAATTACTTTTATAATTTATTCTGCTTTAGCAAATTAGTTATTTCACTTTTTTAAATATTCATTTTCAAATTCAAATATTCAAAATATTATTCATGCGATTGTAAACACAAGTATAGGTACCTACCTATTCAAACTCCATTGTACATAGTTTACGAATATAAATATTAAAATATTTGGGTGCCATCATACTGTATAAAGTGTCAAGTATGTCGTACGATCCGTTCATTTGACTCATATTTATTTCAGTATACAAAGTACTTGACGTACTTGTTCGTAAAATGTAAATACTAATAATAAACAACACGATATACATGGTACGCCATGTACTAGTTAAAATATTTACTCAAAACAATTTCGATATTTTACAGAACAAAATATTTTTTTAATATTTACCATAAATCATAATGTATTATATTTGTTTCAAATACATACCCTTTGAACGATTGAAGTTCTAAAATATATCTGCTACAAAAGGTTGTAAGCACCCCTTTGAACACTTTGAGTTACTTGTTATTTTTATTTTCAACACGTTTTTTTTTCACTATGCTGTGCTACATTATACGCTATCCGCAGTTCTGAATTCGGTACCTTTCTATAATATAGCGCTAAAGATACCTCGTACTTACACATATCATATAGGACATAGGGCTTGCGGGCACAGAGTTTTCCGGAGCGGCACGAGTTCACTTCAAACCGTTTTCTAGTTTTTCTAACCGGAGTCGAATATCCGCTCGGTACCAAATTATTGAGCTTTACTTCGGGTCTCGCAACCTCAACTTATTTATGTAACCACGTGTAGAGTACACCCATCATAAACAATACAATATAATTAAAACCGTCTTGCTCGGCTGCACTATATATTGTTGTACAAATTATGTGTAGATTTTTTTTGATCTCTTCTCTAGACCTGAAGTAAAGTAAAAAAGCAGGTCTTTGAAAAAAAAAAACAATTAAAGAGCGCGTGGTTACATTTTTGTTTGGTTAGAGGTGCACCTGAAATGAGGGGTGTGGTCGCATTGCACTTGGGTTCAAAAAATATAATGATCGAACTGCACTCGGGCTCAAAAAGGGTATTCCAACAAAAATATCACACATTTGAAGCGTTCAGAAAACACTCATTTTCCTTCCCACTCACAGACTTAGGACTGACAATGATTTAATCGTTGGCACGGTTAAAAATGATTGTTTTATATATTATATGCTATTGTCCATTATGTTATTATAATATTATAAACATGTATTGAATCATCAAATATTACTGTCATTAAAATAACTTTTTTTTCATTTTTATCATTTTTTATAATAATAACGAAGTGCATTCAAAAACTCTAACCTGGTAAATGGTAATACGCTTTCGAGCGTATGAGTCAATATATTTTTCAATATCATAAATTTTTTTCTGGTACCTTGTAGTTGAAAGTGTTGTGTCAGTATTCTGAATCAAAGTATCTACATTTGTAATTGTTTTTAAACATCGACAAATACAAGTTTTTTCAAAAAAGTACATCGTTAAAAATATTTACTTATCAACTAAAATAGTAACTCGATTCTTGAACAGCGTGGTTTTCCGGGACAGTCGACATAAAATCTCATCTGCTTAAGATTTTTAGCATTTTAACTCCTCCTTTTGAACGGGCGTAGTTCACTACTGCCTGCTTTGCACACGAGTGCAGTTCGACCATTACCTTTTTTCTACACCCGAGTGCTGCAATATTGGACCATTTCTTTTTTTTGAGTAACAAGTGCAATTCGACCTGCCCGGAAATGAGATGTCCACGCCCGGCGACAATGCGTCTCTATACCCAACAGGTTTTAACCTTGCTGCGGGTTGTTTAGGTGCCTGTAATCCGTTTCAAAAACAGTGACGTCACGTGTGTGTTTGCTGCATTGCAGGGCGACAGCGGAGGACCTCTGACCGTGGAACGAGACTCGGGAAGGCACGTTTTGATCGGTCTGGTGAGTTATGGCGTGACGGGCTGCGCCATCAAACCGGCTTTTCCTGACCTGTACACCAGAATATCGGAGTACGCCAAATGGATTGACGTCAGCACCTCGTAGTGATGACAATAATGACGGTAATGATTGCGATGGTGATGATGATATAGTAATATTGTGACGATGACGATAATACGGCCATACAGTACCAGCCACGGTTGTCGAGCACACAGTTTTATACAAATATTATTATTATTATTATTATTATTATTATTATTATTATTTACAACGACAGACGACGTCGTAATAACAATAACGTTATTGTTTCGGTGGACATGGTCAGTCGTCGCAGTCCAAGAACACATATTAATATGCGGGTAATAAGCACCACCTCACACATAATATGATGTATTTATTAAATCATGTTCACTATATTATTATATTTTTTAGTATTTATAATATTTTATTTGATTTGAAATATCGTTGTTGTCACTTGTGCGAGTATATGTACCTAGGTAGTCATCAGCTATCATAAGTGAACTATTATATTATATTGTACGTATTACCAGTCATCGCGTCCGCCGCCGTCTTCTGCCCTATATAATAATAATACGACGTATTGCGTGATTTATTATTTTTGTCCAGACGTGCACGTGTGCCACCGCCATCTCGACCGCATAATTACACATTATATGCATTCTAAACGTTCATTAACATAATATTATTTCTACGATTTTTTAAGGTCCAAAAAACAGACGTCGTCGTCGTCCGTTTAAAAACACTTCGCAGCAAACATCACATTATTATAATACCGTATAGCGCTCGTGTTTAAATTAAAACATCGTGCGGTGTTATGCACGCCGACGGATAACTGCGTATCGATCATGTGTTATTTCGGAGTTTGTGCTAAAACAATGTCTCGAGCATTAATAACGCATTCGGAAACCGATGAAATTACATTTTACACGTCTGACGAGTGAAAATATTAACTCTGTAAAGTTTGACAGCTCGCAATATTTTTCGTAACCTCGAGTCCGTAAACATTATTATTTTCGGGCTTTAACAAAACACCGTATCGAACATAAACGTTACATATGTGCGTATTATTATCCGTGTTGTAAATGTTGCGAGTAAAATCAATTCATTTTCCTGTTAATCTTTATTTATTGTTCAATTAATTGTCGAGTATATATGTACCTATTTTAATAATTTAACCATTTTAGACTTGAATTGTGAATTGTATTTAGAGTGTGTAGAACGGGAAACCGCTTTTATAATTTGTTTAATTCTTGTATGCCTATTAACGTATTCACAAACAGAACGATTGAAATTAACTTTTTATTATAAGACAATTATTTGTACTCGAGATAAAAATGTAATAATATTAGTTTTAATTGTACAATAGATTATGTGTATATATATATATTATATCATAATAAACTAATAATAAAGGCATTGTGTGTTTACCTAATATTAGTTATAAAACAATGCTACTAATGATGATTAAACATGTGTAAGCACCACATGAATACTGACTATTAGTAATAGTGCAGTGACTGTCATTTTGTATAAAAGTTTTTTTAAAAATTATATCTTAGGTAAGAGTAAAAAAGTTTGTATGTCTAAGAACGAAGTTCAAGAAATAAAATAATTTTTTGTATCGTTATTCGTGTTTAAATAGTAAGATATTTTGTGAAAATCTAAAATTACGAGTGTCAAAATTTTAAAAATTAAATTGCTGATTAGTCGTTACAAATGTTAATACAATCATATACTCGCTTCGGAATGAAGTGTATTTATTTATTATTTAGGGAAAATTATATTCACTACGCCTAATGCCTAACATAGTCTATAGTATTTATATTTGAAATGGACTTTTAATATTTTATGTTCTGATTAAAACTGACTTTTAATATTTTCTGTATCGCAAATGTATTTTTCAGAGGAAAAGTGTTCGTCATCGACCTTTATTGATGTACTAGTAATAATTTTAAATGAACAAACGAGAAAATGAAACAAGTCAAACACGTCGGCAATATGAATTTGAATAAAGACACGAGTCTTGTATTATATAATGACGTGGTCTGCGATGTCATAATGTGTAATTTGTTTTTTGTTTACAACAGATGAAAATACATTATTAGTGCAATAGTGCCATAGAAAATGTGTTTGGCTCCATGTGTTATATTAGCAGACACGTTTTCCCCGTCCATAAGCAGTGCTCATTTTCTTGCCCGCCCACGCACAATGTTCCAATTCTCCAACCGAACTTAACTGCTTCTGTTCTCTGTGTTTTCTGCTACAGGCGATAACTATTCACTTCAGTAAACAGTGTTTTACACAGCACAAGTCTTCAAAAAATACGTGGTCGAGGTACCTATAAGTGATCTTTTTATTTTTTGTTTTAAATTAGATCTGAGATTTCTGATTTATTTCTTCTTTGTCCGATAATCGGTACAAACCGTTCAATATACCACCCGACTCGTATACGCAGTACACACATATGCATACTACCAAGTACCAACCACTTGTGATTACGGGAGATCCTCTTGAATTTCCAAATACCGTGTTTCTATTTTTGGTGTTATTGAATTTCGAGTAGCATATCATAGTATCATACACGAATCGCGGTAAAAAAAAGTCTTAGGAAAAAAAAGTCCGCGTATAAAAGTCTGAGTCGTAAAAAGTGCTCAGTAGATAAGTCCTATAAGCCTAAAAAGTCCGGGGTAAAAAAGTCTGAGGAAAGAAAATCCGGTATATATGTATATATAACGATATTTAAAATAATTAATTTTAAAAAAAAATTCAATTATTATAATTAGGAACTTATAGTATCATTACCATAATATACGTAGTATATTTTAATGACATCTCGGTTTGATTTAGTATTAACTGTCTAGTTAACTATCTCAACTAAAAAAATTCTGGTTTATATGTATAATGTGTGTACCTATAACAATAATCGTTGAAAAAAAAAATTGAATCATTACAATATTTATCATCAGTTTGATTAACTATAGTTAAAAAAAATAATAAACCCATTTAAGGATTCCGATACACATATATGCATAACAATATTTAACCGACATACTTTGCGAATATATTGCCGGTATTGGTACCTGCAAGATTATTTATTAATTTCGTCGGATTAATCATTTGGTTACAATTTATATTAATACTCATTAAGAAGTCTGACTGCGCCTCTTATCGCGTTTTTCCTTTCACCTAATTATGTGTACCGGACTTTTTGGTAGTATACCACCGTATATGTATGTAGGTACTGTACGGGTATATTTTTGAAACTATAAAATAACTTAAATGTCAGGATAAGTTTTTCTCGCAAATTATTTTGAACTCGATCAAAACAAAACTAAAATTACAATCACAGTAAACTTGTTCAGTTGTTCGAAAAGAACTCTTAAATTTCGATATAATTTCGTATCGATTTCTTTATATCCAAAGAAGTTATACACCCGAACGCACCTATAAAAATGTTAAATTCGATAAACGATTAACATCGGCGTTTCAAATATTATTGAACTTTGCAGTAATCAACAGTTTTCTCGGCAGCGTCGCGTAATAGTGTGTGTGATCTTATACTATTAACTCGGCGAGTAAAACTTTTGCACACACCCATTACGGCCAGTGTCCGCGTCTCAAGGAAGTTCGCCGAAATTGAAATATTTCGCCGAAGTGCGATGTTCACCATCGTCTAATGCGTTTCGTCCAACTAAACCATTATGGGTTCATCCAACTTGCACTGCACCACTCCACACGCCCGTGATTTATAATGCCGTTGTGGTTGGGGCGGAGAAATTCGGTTTACGTCATTGTCGTGCGTTCATATTATTACACACACACACACACACACACCGGTTAAGTCATCGTTTATTGCTCATACTTGCCTCCCGAGCGTTTTCGAGGCGTCTGTGCAATATTTACATGGTTCACGATTTCGCGCAAGCGTGTTAAAAAATAATTTAAAAAAAATGAAATTTGTACATCGCCTATTACTACGGGCGCAATTAGTTTTATTATTACGATGGTGATAATTTACCGCGGAGTATTATGCAAACTCACCAGAGCCGGAGGATGACCCGCGTTGATATTCCACTTTAATTCGTTTTCAATATTATAGTGAAAAGACTAAATAATGATACATTTAAAATTTTAACGGTTGAATCTTGTTAGTTTTCACGATCAACTAAACGAATAAATTATTTATTGACATTCCTAAACGCAAAGTTGCTTACCTCCCAATTTCTTGAGAAGGCTCCATGCCTCCCTACTAGAATGTCTGAAATCGAGGGCTGTCATTGTTTTGTTCCATTTTTCCTTCCTGTATTCATCAAGGCTAGTTAAGAGGTCGTCCGCTACATCAATGTTTCCGTTCATGTATTCTCCTCGGTATAGGTTTTCGCTTAGTTCGTTCCAGCCGGGGATGTAATCTTTCCTATAGCCTCTTGGCATATGTTTTTTTGCAATAGCAATGATGAGTCCCAAAAATCTATTATAGTTCAAACGTTTAGGTGGGATAAACCGGATGCATTTGTCTAGTTCATTTGCATAGTCTTCCCATGCAGCTTTGTTAAAGTTCCATCTGGGGTAGGGTGTGGAGTTAATTAGTGGGATTTGAAGCCCGATTTCAATTAGGATAGGCCGATGCTGACTATTTGGGAAGTCGTTCATAACTGTTCGGCTGGCTGCCATGGGTAAGTTGTTTGTTGTTGTAAGTTGTCTGCTCCTTACTCAGTAGCGGAAATTACCACGGCTCTAAAGGACCTAAAACCGGGGAAGGCTGCAGGGCCAGATGGAATGCACCCTGAATTTCTGATAAACTGTGGTCCTAACACCAGAAGATGGCTATCTAAATTTTACACTGACATCCAACAATCCGGTACGCTGCCACCAGAATTTAGAAAATCTAGAATAATTGCTATCATCAAACCCGGGAAATCAAACGATCGCCCAGAAAACTACCGACCAATAGCACTACTCAGCGTGTGCTATAAACTACTGGAGAGAATAATCTACAATCGAATAAGCCCAATTATACTAAATACCATTCCGGTGGAACAAGCCGGGTTCAGGCCGGGCCGAAGCTGTTCCGATCAAGTCCTCGCATTGACCACTTATATTGAGGCTGGCTTTCAAAACCGCCTAAAAACTGCAGCGGTATTTATCGACCTAACAGCTGCTTACGATACCGTTTGGAGACACGGCCTGCTGTACAAACTTCTTAAAACTATTTGCTGCCGAAATACCGTCCAGCTAATCAACACTATGCTTTCTAATAGATCATTTAAAGTTCACATGAATGATAAAACTAGCAACTTTAGAACATTAAATAACGGCCTAGCGCAAGGCTCGGCATTAGCACCTCTATTATTTAATGTCTATATAGCCGACCTCCCATTGACTCACTCCATTAAATTCGCATACGCTGATGACCTAGCTATTGCAACTCAACACAAAGACCTCAATGAAACAGAAAGGATACTCACAGACGATCTCATTACTCTAGGTAACTACTTCCAAGCCTGGAGACTAAAACCTAACACCAGCAAAACAGAAGCGTCCTGTTTCCACCTCAACAATAAACTTGCTAGCGCTCAACTAGACATAACTTTCAACGGAGACGCTCTAAACCACAATTGCCACCCCAAATACCTTGGAATAACACTGGATCGCACACTCTCCTTCAAAACTCATCTCGAAAATACTGCCGCCAAACTTAACTCCAGAAATAATATAATACATAAACTCTGCTGTACATCTTGGGGTGCTTCGGCTCACACTCTGCGATGCTCGGCTCTTGGTTTGGTCTACCCAGTAGCTGAATACTGCGCATCCGTCTGGCTAAATAGCGCTCATGTGGCAAAAGTAGACACCCAACTAAACACTACCATGAGATTAATATCTGGCACAATAAAATCGACACCTACTCACTGGCTCCCAACATTAACAGCAATTGCTCCCCCACCACTTCGCAGAGCGAGCGCCTTAGTTAAAGAGCTCTCAAAAATAAATCTCAATCATGAACTGCCCATTAATAATTTTATTGACGACGCGACCAAAACACGATTGAAGTCTAGAAAACCGACACCAAAAACTGCTAAGGACCTAATCAATGCAAACTTCGACATGATGACGCAATTGGAACAAACGTGGGCAGCCGCGGCAGAGAACGACAACATCCTATGTAACATATCACCAGGACATATACTCATAGGATTTGACCTACAGCGAAATCTGTGGTGCACACTTAATAGAATACGAACCTCACACGGTAGATGTGCAGATTCCTTGCACAAATGGGGCATGAGAGATTCACCAAAATGTGACTGCTGAGCAGAGAAGCAGACCATCTATCACATAGCATTTGTATG